TCTCACAGCGTATGACACAATCTAATTCAATATGTACGAAGATGTGTGGAGCTCTATGAATTTTGTAGTTTTGTAGAGGGAGGGCCGCCAATAAATAAATATTTGACCAATGCATATGTATCAAAATATGCTGCAAACTCCTGGGTAATTATTTATGTTAATAAATGTACTTTCAAATAACAGACCGAGTTCCAATCCAGTTTATTCATTGAGGGCTTGTTTTCTGTACTAGTTAATATTTAACAGGTAGATGTTAGCTGTAAAACTCACTTCCTGGTAATACCTAATTTTGGGGTCAAATTATCGGGACAAAAAATCAATCGTATTACATCTCAAGGAGTGCCACGAGAGAAATTAGGTTATGCCACAAAAACATTGATGGAATAACGTCGATTTCATGAAAACCGAAGCTTGGAAACCGCGAAAGTAGGCTATGTGATTTTACGGTGTCCCTTCCTCGCTCACTCGCAACATTTAGAAACAGGGTGATTTAAGTCAGCCAAGTGCCTGCATACCTCCATATGTGGGCAACAAGGTGCCCGAATATCCCTTTATTTAATAGCGAGATATCGAAATAATATTTTTTCTATTGAAATGAGATTTTTACCACGCTTATTCACTTCACTCGATTGCAACATTGGAGCAATGCGTTGGCTGAATTATCTCATATTAATGTATCGCGATGACCGAATAATTATATGAGTTGTTGTATTATTTATATTCCTCGGTAGGGTGCCCGCATACATTATTGCACGTCTTATCTATATTAAGAATAGCGTTCTTTTTTACTCTATCGCTTAGCTCGCTTGATAAAATGTAGAATGAAAAAAAAATGCTGGTATGTGTGCATTATGGCAAATGACGAGTCTCAGAGTGATACAATATGACTAATTTGGGATTGGGGTAACGCGAAGCTTTTTATTTCTTAAAAGAGTGCCGCAACAACAAACAATTTTTTAAAAAACACCTATCTAGTAAACTTACACAGTTAAAATTTTTGTGAACAAGTTGTTTAAAAGTTTAAACAACTCTTGATTAACGGGTGACCTGATCTAAGAGTTGTTTAAAATGTTAAGCAACTCGAGTTGTTTAAAGTTTAAACACTTAGTTGATCAACATTTTGAACAACTTGTTTAAAATCACAATTTAAACAACCGGTGTTGTTTAAAGACGGTTGTTTAAAACGGAGCTGTTGTTCAGTGGAGGTTGTTTACACCAACTGGGTTGTTTAAAGAAAGTTGTTTAAAAAGGAGCTGTTGTTCAGCGGGGGTTGTTTACACCAACTGGGTTGTTTAAAGAAAGTTGTTTAAAACGGAGCTGTTGTTCAGTGGGGGTTGTTTACACCAACTGGGTTGTTTAAAGAAAGTTGTTTAAAAAGAAGCTGTTGTTCAGTGGGGGTTGTTTACACCAACTGGGTTGCTTAAAGAAAGTTGTTTAAAATGGAGCTGTTGTTCAGTTGGGGTTGTTTAAACCAACTGGGTTGTTTAAAGAAAGTTGTTTAAAAAGGAGCTGTTGTTCAGTGGGGGTTGTTTACAACAAAAGGGTTGTATAATGGGGTATAATTTGGGTTTGATACTCTGAATAAGTGCACCACTACTTCTGGGTCTCTATATAGGTATATGAAGACTAGGGTAATTCTGCAATTCATGAATTAGCGCCAAAACATGAGCGCGCATGCACGCACGTATAAACTGCATATATATAGGGATGCATGCAATCCCTATGGCAAGAAATTTAGCACACGTTATAACCGAGTGCGCGATCAGTGCCGCACTGCATGACGCGACGATTTTAAGTCTACCTGTATTCTGACATTTGCGTACAGATACCGAAATTTTAACTGTGAACTTACGCTAAAAACTTCAAAGTAGTTAATAGAAAAGTGATTTCAATTAAGCCATTGAATCCCCAGTCACTTAGAAGCGCGTCGGTAGCTTGGTCGGCCATGATGTTGTGTTGTGGGTTGGAAAGTAATAACTATTAAGCTAAATAAATGTAAGTATAGAGACAAACAAAATGGAGCCTGCAGAAACACGTGTGGTTGCTTTGGTAGTTTAATCCAGACTCAATGTCCATGTGCTTTTACATATGTATCAATCTGTGTAGTCAGCAAAAGACCCTTGCATACACTTGCATTGTGTGTATGCATCTAATATGAATAACAATGAGCTGTGCCTTAACAGCTGCACTGCATTTCTAAGTGGCATGTCAATTTCAATTGCATGTTAGTTTCAAGGAACCTGTTTCTAAACATAACAATGTGAAATAAAGCCTTTAGCCAACACGCACTTAACTGGCACGAGACACATGACGTCATATGTAAACAACACTGTCTAAAAGCTCTCGTATAGTAAATATAGCAGTCATTAAATTTTAAACAACGAATGTTTAACAAAATTACTTCTGTTTCGAGCAACATTGTTTACAATTTGATCAACTGTTGTTTAAGATAGTGTACAACTGTAAGTGAACATCACTTTTTTAAACAGCGTTTTTACTGTGTAAGACTGGTTCCCCCCTTCCAACACATGACTGAGCCCATGCACGTTACTCCACTGATTGAATGAGCGCACAAGAGCCCTCAGATTGAGCAATCTATTCAGTAGGAGCAAATCACGTGAACTTTATCTACCATTCAAATATAGCTTTTAATCAAAATTACATGGAATCAGTTCTTTATATGATTACCACTCACCCTGGCAATCTGGCCCAGGAGATTGTTTCTCTTGATGGTACCTGCTTCTAACATGTTGTTTTTCAACACCTAAAGTAATAATAATTAGTACAAATCATTGTGGATCAAAACAGAAGATGATATAATCACTATAACCGCAAATTATTAACTCTAAAAATATTACTTCATTAGTGTTTCGCCACATATGATTATCCAGAGTTATCCTCAACACATTATAATACTATAACTCCTAAATACCCCGAGTAACTTTTCAGATAACATAATAACATTCAAATCATCACAAATTACTACAACAAAATCAGAATCAAGTGCTTAACTCAGAAAATAAATCAACCTACTGGTGAAAAAACAAATGATATGCCACCCAATACAGAACTAATATCAATTCAACACAGATTATCATTCAAAACAATACCAAAATTGAAATGATACTTAATAGAATTGACAAAAAGGATGAGGCTCTGTCTTTTAACAGATAAAAAATTTGTCCCCTTGAGGGTAACAATGAAATGTTATGTTATCAAATAATAACATTCGATAGATACTCCCAACATTTGGAACCAGTACATCGCCTAAAAAATTCTAATTGCAACATCTCCAGTGTTTCGAATGATGCACACCGTCAAGATTCCCTAGTATTGCCTTTCTTTGGATACCATTGGTGTTTTGCATTAATTGTTTGCAGCAAAACACTTCAACGTTGTACAAAACATATACATAGTTGTCTTTACCAATTATTATTCAATTTATGTATTGAAGGCATACTTTTGTTACACTTAGTGAACATGCGTAAGCGCTCTATCAGAGTAAGATATGAAGCAGATGACAATCGTAGCCACCAAAACTCGTTATTTCACTCACTTACATACTCTCTTTAGCATGTTACGAAAGTCAGTGTGCAATTCATGCTACATGGATGGTTTGTTGCGGACGTTACGTGATGTTAACATGTCAGTCAGATCATCAATTTATACAAACTTTACTACACTATGTTGACTGGGGGTAATCGGTTTGATTTATTCTTGTCATGAAATTACAGTGTACCATTCAAGTTTATCACATACACGTGTTAGCAAAACATAATAAATCTATTTAACAATAAAACCGCAAAGAAATATCCTCGGCGTTTCTTTTGTGTTAGAAAAAAAAGAATGTTAAAACATCGCATATCCTGAGAATGGTACATTTACACGTCTTTGAGGAACATCAGATAAGAAAGGGAATTAAGGCCCTATTGATTTTTGTACAGTTTTGTTATACGAGCAAGGGAGGGTCAAGCTATTGAGTATTTAAACAACATGTGAGGATGATTCATGACAGGAGAGGAAAAATAAACGATTTTGGAGACGTTTCAGCTTATTACCCACGTACTGACAAACATTTTCATGATAGTTTGCCGTGACATTTTAAATGCAGCGTGAAGAATCTTTGCTCTGTTTTTCGTTTGCAATTTACTTGATGAATATTGATTTGCGCAAGTGCTCTGACTATATTTGTAGAGGATCAAGAGGGAGGGATGGCAGGGTCACTTAAGGGAAAGAGGGTGCGAATTATGAACCCCGTTATCCATTTTCTTGAATTCAGGTCTTTCTTTATGTATCACTAGACCGATAGCCTGTATCATTTTAACACACACCATTTTCTACACAACACATTGCTCCCGTCCCCAAATTTCTCTTGATTTAATGGGGGGGGGGGGGGGGGGGTTCAAAGAAGGTAGAGGGTAGGGTGAATGTTCTGAACTACACCATGCACAATTTACATTTTTCAGATTGCACTGTTCCAAATTTCACTGTTCCATAAAAATATGAGAGATAATTCAGATTTAATGTTATCTGTATTACAGATCCACTCATGGTCATTGATCATCGATAAGAAAGAAATATATTGTTTGCGCATGGCTATATACAATTATCAACTTCAACGAACTTTTGGTATGTCGATTCGGGTTACAAAATTGTGTAAACAATTTGCTATTCAGTGATACCTCATGCACATAACGCAAAGTTAAAAATGTGTTGTTAAGCTCTGGGAGATCAATCTAGATCCATGCTACAAGGAAACGAGAAAACTTTATCAATGGAAATGTTAAAGCTCTCAAAGTGCCATTTAGCTATTTGGTCGTAGTTAAGAATTAAAACAAACAGAGCCACAATCTGCTTCGTTCATATCTGACATGGTGTATGAAGACAAATATATATGCCACTTCTGGTCGCCTGACACAGAGAAGCAATCAGAACCCTTCCAGTTCCCTCCATACCCTACCACCACAGCGTCCTGGGACAGCGCTGCCATGCCAAGCAGGTTATAGAAACCATGAACCGTTCTTTCCAAAACGTATTTTCACTAGTGGTGGAGCGAAACTGTAAACCTGGTTTTTAGGAACACATCCATTAGCAAATACTGAAGTCTTCTTCCCTTTCATCTCTATATGACCTAGGTCAAGGAGCTCCTTCGCACCGGCAACAAAATGTGCACTCTTTACTGCTTGCAATTTCGGCATGGATCCCTCTACATTTGTTTTCTTCAACGACTTTTCAAGATCATTAGAGTACAAATGAAGTTCAATAAGGATATCGTCATTTACATCCTTCGTCATGCTGTTCGTCAAGTTCGCAATAGATCTCTCTATCTTCTTTATCGTTTGTTTCTGATGAGCAATATCTTTGTCCAATTGCTTGCTTGCATCCTCCCGAATATCATTGACCTCTTTTATTAGTTTTTTCTCGTTTTCCTGGAGGACTGTTATTTTCTTGGCAAGCACATCTCTAATGCTACATTCCAATTCTCCAAGGTGACAGTTTATGATCCTTTTTTGCTGCTCAGCATTTTCCACAGACTGTTCAGCTTGGGTTTTCCTGATTTTACTCTCTTGACTAAGAGTGACTTTTTTCTTTCTCAATCCCTTCTCCAGATCTTCTTTCTTGATAATCCTGTGACTTTGATGGCTTTCGATGAAGCACGTAATACAGATAAATATCTCACACACTTCACAGAAAATGTTCTTGCACTCTGTCTTGTGCAAGACACAGGAGTTTGGTAACAGACACTCATCGTGAAGATCATCCTGAAGACCTCTCAATGAAAAGTTTGGCGGGAGTCCAGCAATCCTATAAGGACCTAGCTTGGTGCGGTTCCTACAGAGAGGGCAGTCCATGTAATCCCAAAATGTATGTTTCTCATCGTAAGTTTCAAGGCAGTCCTTACAGAATGTATGTCCACACTGAAGGAGAGTGGGGCTTTTGAAGGCTTCAAGACACAACGGACAGGCTAGACTATCAGGGCACAGTTTTTGTTTGTTGGCCATCTTTATACCGCAAATCTATATTGAGGAAATAGACGATTAAAATATTTAGCCGGACAGAAGTATACAAAGATGATGTTATTTTGTCTTACATGATATTATGTATAATACTACTGTCAAACCCAAGCCTGTCTATAACGACCGCCCTAGGGATACACAAAGAGTGGTCTTTGAAGACAGGTTCCTGTACATGTTTCAATGAGAAACCATGTTCAAGGGAATAACAAAAAATCTAAGTCCGGGGCCCGTTAAACGCCCTACGTAGATATATACCAGACAAATTGTGGTAACGTGCATGGAAAAACTTGATTTGATTGGCTGTTCGGTGATGTTGCCATTGTAATTAATACCGATGGCAAAATTACCATCAGAGTTAAGTTCTATCATACATACGGGGCCCACAGATCGCGTCTGCTATTGTGCGCGGTGAGCCAAGTCCGTCGTAAAGTCCGACGACCACAGGCCCGACCACCCGGTCCTGAAAGACATGCAGCACGAGCAGACGGTGTACTGTTTGTTGGAAGAGTCTGTGTCAATTATTAAACCCAACATTTATCACGCAAGTGCAGTAAATTTACCTGTTTTACACTTATTTCAGATGAAATTTTATGCCGTAATTTATCACTTAATTAGCTGACTTACCAAACTTGTCTCGGCTCATATTAGATGAGATGAAGTCGAACCGCAGCGAATATAACTACACTCATACTACCTAGCCTGTCGGATCGATTATGACTGTTAATTCTAGCTCTCCTGCCAGCCGGACGTGTCGCGCGCGCACATAACTGAAAATACGTATTTTTAGTTCTATGGTCGCGCTCCCAATCAGCTCAGCTGAGAAAATATAAGACACCGTCAACGCTAAAACAGAGACAATATTGGGGAGTAGTGCGATCTGTGTTAGATGCGTGTAAGGTGAGAGGACATAATGATCGAAGAATTTAAAAAATATATAAAAACGGACAGAATCTGGACAAATGCCAATAGGGCTTACAGTGAAGATTTCAGCATCTCGTTCGCGAAGCAATCAATTTGAATGATTAGCGTGCATTGCATTATCTGAGCGTGATTTTCATGGATAATTTGAAGTGTCGCGCTTTTTTGACACAGGGTGCCCTCTGGCTTAATGCGTACATAATGCGATATTTTAGTCCGAAAACATGGTAACTCGAAATTGGTTTTGTAACAGTGGCTCAGCCAAAATGTATTGAGATAAAACGAGGATATCCTATTGAATATAATCTGTTTCAATTCGTTAAGGCCGTTCACTTTTCTGTTGCCGTCCTTTATCTTCCAAAACGAGAAGTTTTATGAAAGTTTTAGGACTCTGACTAATACATAAACACTGCCGCTCACATAGTGGGAATATTTGTTTTACCCCAATTTATGGAATTATTTTGACAACGATTTATTCCTAAAAGATCTAGATAAAGTATACATTCTCAGATGTTATTGAATAATAATTTGCCAGTGTTTTTTGTGCATGACTGCTAAAACATGGGTATGCTCCTATGCTTATCAACTAGGGGATCTACGCCCTTAAGTCATAAATGACAATAATGAGGATTAATGCCCAACAAAAGGGCACTAATATAGCACATCGACACGGTTTTGATCATGGGGCCTCACAGTTACGAGGCCATTGCTTTGCCACTGAACCATGACTGTATGCAGCGGGGATAGGGTAGGGGGCAGTTCCCACAAAAAAAGAAGAAGAGGAAAATGCAATAAATTATCAATAACTCACTGAATTCCCCCCTGTCCCCAACAGAAAGACACATTTGTGTGCCCATCCCTTGAGCCATAATGAAAATCCTCCGTACGGTCATGTAAGGCCCCGGGATCAAAACCGTGTCGATGTGCCATATTAGTGCCCTTTTGTGGTCCATTAATCCTCATTACTGTCATTTATGACTTAATGGCGTAGTTCTCCTAGCTGATAAGCATTGTAGCATACACATGCTTTAGCAGTCACGCATAACAAACACTGGCAAATTATTATTCAATAAAATCTGAGAATGTATACTATTATCTAGAGCTATTAGGAATAAATCATTGTCATGATAATTCAATAAATTGGGTTAAAAAAAAATATTCCAACTATATCAGCGACAGTGTATTTGTGACCCTGCCCATTGCCATTCCAAGTGGAAATATATTTTCTTCTTCTGGTAGCCCAATAAACAAAATCACGTGAACATCACGTCAATATCAAGGTATCGACTTGAGGAGAGTTACGTTCTTCAAACACCTGACATTTACGTAAATGTGTTAATACGTTTATTGCACTAGGTAACTTAAAACACACGTACACTAAATCACGCAATTGTCACTGCAATATCACCATTATAATAACGTGATTATCCCTACCTTGGAGACCATGGTTTGTAAACCTAATACTCCCGTGTTTGTTTGGTTATGAAATTACATCTTCATAAACGAAATTATCGCGTCACAGAAACACGTGAAGCGTTAGTGATAGTTTTAGTCAAAATATCTGCGTGAAATTCACGTGAATATTACGAGGCTGACTTGAGATGAATCATGTTCTTCATTCACGTGAAATTTACGTCGAAGAGGAAATATGTTACTGTAACCCGCGTTCAACCCAATAATTACGCAAATGTTACACAATAAATGAACCAAAATAATGACGTTCTCATCCCGTTTCTGAACATCGTGTCTTGGATCTTCAATAATTACGTCCAGGCGCGCCGGAAGCAGTTTGGGATTCGAGGGGGTGGGGGTGGGTGGGGGGGGGGGGGGGGTGCAAACATCCCAGAAGAGAAAGCTAGTTGCAACTGGTCCAGTTGATGAACCAGTTAATGCCAACAGGTAACCCTGGAAATTGAAATGGGCTAAATGATCCAGTTGATCCAGGCCAGTTAGAATTTAACTGGTCTAGCTGAGCCATTAGAACCATTTGGTAAAACTTCCAACCTGCTGAACAGCAACAACACTTCAATACTGGTACGTCTGTATTTCCAATGTAAAGGCATTGGTAATAAGAAGACTTACATAATTTAATTAATCGAAATTTTTTCATATACTTGTATTTTATTGAAACTATTTTAGTTCATAGTTAATGTTTCCCTTATTCATGTTTAACTAAATGTAATGTATACGAAGTAGCGAAATGTCCTAATAACTGGTAATTTATATTTGTAGTATTTTCGAAATGAATTGCATATAACTAAATCATCAGTAATTAAGAAATATGCTGTAAATTTAGATAAATTGTTTAAAAAACATAGATCTGCACGCACCCCATATTCAATATGCAAATTAATTGGTGTCAGCTGGTTCAACTGGAAATATGCACACTCCAGTTATCAACTGGTGCAATGAAAATATGCCAACAGTCAGTTATCAACTGGTGAACATAGAAATATGCCAACAGTCACGGGATTATCACCACGGAACTTAAATGGTAACTGTGAAACCATCAAGACACCCAAGAATAACTCATTTTCACACCTGGAAAACACGGAATACCCAGCTTATATTAATAATCCGTTTGAGTCACGAGATCATCATCGCGGAACTGCTGGCAACTTTGACTACCATTTAAATAGGTGTTTTAAGACACCTAATAATTACTAATTTTTCACACCTAAAAGTCACGTATGCCCAGTTTAGATTAATAATCCGTTTGAGTCACGAGATCATCACCGCGGAACCTATGGCAACTCTGACTACCATTTAAAAAGGTGTTTTAAGACACCTAATAATTCGTAATTTTCACACCTAAATATCACGGATTCACAGCTTAGATTAGTAATCAGTTTTAGCTACGTGATCATCACCAAGAAAGTTTCGGTAACTTTGAAACTATTTAAAAAGGTGTTTTAAGACACCTAATAATTACTAATTTTCACACCTAAAAGTCACGTATGCCCAGCTTAGATTAGTAATCAGCTTGAGCCACGTGATCATAACCAAGACATTTATGGTAACTTTGAAACCATTTAAAGAGGTGTGTAAGACACCTCAGAATTACTAATTTAATATAACCAGAGATTCACGGACAGAACAATAAGACGATTAGCCGGTGTAAGTAACGTGATTATTACCATCAACCTTGGATAACCTGTGAAACCAATCGATAAAGGTGTTTACAAGACCAAATAATTACCTATTTATCACCACCATCGGTTAACGGACAAAAAACTCGTTGCTTGGTCAAGTGGTTATTTGGTCATAAACACTTGATTTACAGAGGTAAGTGGAATCACGTTTCTCCAGTCGCGTGATAAATTGGTGGTTTTTAGGTTACATGAAAACGTGAACAGGAGTACCTTTTTTGTTCAAATGAAGGCACGTGTCGATAACGTTTAAATCTAGTTCAAAGGGCACTATACTTTGAAATCACTTAAAATACACTCCCAGAAGAGGTTACTTTTTAGTGTTCTGTTTATTGGGAGAGGACCTGGGTAATTTCAATATCTCTGATTTTTTTTTCTTAATAAAAGAGTTTCATATAATCATTACCGTACTATATCATGGAAATATCTTTGGAAACAAAAGCTTAGGAATGTTATTAAAGGGATGTTTGAATTCCAAACACACTAAATAAAACGAAAAATCAAGTGTGAAGGGCACCTCGCTGCCGCATACGTGAATGCAAAATAATATTATTATGTGTATTACCTCGATGCACATTACATGAGAATAGTCGAGCATAACATTACCAGAATTATCCTGTTTCTAATTGTTACGAGCGAGTGAATCGAACGAGCATAATTATGGTAAAAATGTAATTTCGATAGAAAAGATATAAAATATTGAGGCACCTCGTTGTCAAATAGAAGGCCGACTATTCGGGCACCTCGTTTCTAAGAGATGGAGGTCTTTAGGAACTTCGCTGCCTGAAATCACGGACCCTGCTGAAATCAACAAGTTGCTAAAGGATGCGATCGAACAAAGCGAATAAGGGAGAAAGCTTTTCCTCATGAAATAGTTATCGAAATCGACGTTATTCCAAAATAATTACAATTTATTAA